GGGGTGTGTGTGTGTGTGTATGTGTGTGTGGGGGGGGAGGGCAAAGAGGGGGAGTAGTGAGGGTGATCTGGAGAGGCCTTTAGAACCCAAGCGGGTTACACACACTGTAACACCTCCAGGTTGTTAGCTCACCCTATGCTGTTGAAAAACAAAAACAATCCAGATTATTGTACAGGATGTTGTTTGTTATTGTTATGTTGGGATCAACACAAGTGCCATGGAGTTGATTCCAACTCATAGTGACCCTGTACAGGGTTTCCAAAGAGCTGCTGGTGGGTTTGAACCTTGTGGTTAACAGTCCACCACCACACCAGGACTCCACAAGATGTTTACTATGACCCAATTCTAGTTTTTGCACATGTTTTTCCAGAGAAGAAAATACCCTGGGATGTGAATGTTGGGATTCCTGGATATGTTTATTTTATTTTTTGTTTCTCTGTGTGTTCCAAATTTTTTCCAATAGACATGAATTACTTGTGAAATAAAACAAATGTAACATATAAGTAGCATGGGATTAAAGAAGTCTGGAAAGAAAAAATAGGGTCATCCGCACACCCTTTCCCTCTGTGAACTTGAACTCAGCACACACATTTATATAGACGTGTTCATGGGCCACTCTGAGGCCATATTGTGACTGGCCTTCCACAAGCCACAGCCAGGCCAGGGACCCACAGGGCAGAGTCTGGAATCGGAGGCTTCCCTGGCGTGGCTGTCAGACCCCTCTGGGATGGCCCAGGCCCCTGCAGCCAGAGCCACGCTTCCCTGGGCAGGCCCTAGGCTCCAGACCCCAGACCTGGATGTGGAGTGGGGCCCCATGGCTTCACCCAGGGGATTTAAGGACTGGAGAAAAGGGTTGGGCTAGGAAGCAGCATTTCTTTTTTATAAGTTTTTGTTGTTAATTATGTGGGTTTACATGGAAGAACATCAGTTTTACATTCATCCTATTGTATTTCGTTTCATTGCAATGATTACAGCCCCCTCCATGAATCATCAAACAACCAAAGGGTACACCCCACAGGCCCGCCCCCTGACCAGCTGTCTGGTCAGCACACAACCCCACTCTTTCCCTGAGTCCAGTGTCCCCAGATGCTCCATCTGCCCGTGTCATCATCTCGGCCTCCATTTCCGGCGTCACTGCTTCTCTGGGTAGGGTCCTGCACTCCGCTCTAGGAGACAGCATTCTTGGGGCTCAGGATCTAGGAGCCTGGACCCCATCCTCCATTCAGGGAAGGGGCGGAGGCCTTGTGGAGAAAAGGAAGGCGTTGAGGTTTTGGCCTGGCATCCCCTTCTGTCCATTCCCAGACAGCCCTGTGGAGCCAGAGACTAGCAGACCTTCTCTCAGACCACCACTGGGGGCGGGGAGGGGGGCCCTCCGCCAGCTGGTGCCCAGTGTGACTCAGGCAGGACCGTGTGGTGAGGCTTGACAGGGGTAGGGGACAGCAGAGGTTAGAGGAGACCAAGTGTGTTTATTCACTCACCCACTGTTTACTCCACAACCGTGTATCTGATGCCTCTGAGATTCGGACCTTGCCCTGGATGCTGGGTAGGTTTCTGCATCTAGGGAACTCAGATTCTGATGTTGTTATTGTTAGGTGCCATCAAGTCGGTACCAACTCATAGTGACCTTATGCACAGCAGAACGTAACACTGCCCAATCCCGGGCCAACCTCACTGTTGTTGCCACATTTGAACCCACGGATGCTTCCACTTGGTCAATCCATCTTTCTGGGGGTCTTCCTCTTTTTCTCTGACCCTCCACCTTACCAAACATGATACCCTTCTCTAGCTACTGGTCCTTCCTGACAATATGTCTGAAGTATGAGAGATGAAGTTTGGCCATCTTGGCTTCCAAGGAGCACTCTGGCTGCACTTCTAAAACAGATCTATTGGTATTTTTGGCAGCCCATGGCACTTTCAATATTCTCCTCCAACACCGTAATTCAAAACCATCAATTCTTCTACAGTCTTCCTTATTTACTGTCCAACTTTCACATGCATGTGAGGTTATTGGAAATACAATGGCTTAGGTCAGGTGTGCCTTAGTCCTCAAGCTGACATCTTTGTTTTTCAACACTTTAAAAAGGCTTTGTGCTGCAAATTTGCCTAATGCAATACATCGTTTGATTTCTTGAATGCTGCTTCAGTGAGTGGAAGGGGTTAATTAAAGAAACTATAAAATTGCTGGCCAGCTGAGGGCTAAGAATGAAGGAAGGCAGATACTAAGGGCATTTGAGGAGTCAGGAGGTGGGGTTGGTGAGTCCTCCTGGGCAGGTGAGGACTCTCTACGTGGCTTATTCTCCAGGTGCACCCAGGCCAGGCCACAGGTAAAGGCCAACTCCATGGGGAGTCGGGAATCTGTGCCTTTGTGGGTTGTAGGATAGTGGAGCTGGGCAGGGAGGGCACCTGGGGAGGTGAGCGAAGGTTGTGGGCCCTGCCCTGGTGGGGAGGAGTTGGGCCTGGACTCTGGAGGCTGGCGCAGTTTTCTTCCTTAAACATTGACCTGTTGGCACCAAGTCAGCTCCAACTCCTGGAAACCGTGTAGGACAGAGTAGAAACTGCCCCGTAGGGGTTTCAAGGCTGTAAATCTTCATAGAGGACTCCTGGTGTGGCACTGTAGGATAAGCACTGGACTGCTAACCATAAGGTCGACGTTCACAGTAACCTCCGAAACCCAATACAGAGTTGCTTGGAATCAGAACTGATGCTACAACACTTAATAACAACAACAACAAATCAGAGAAGCACATTGCCACATTTTCCTCTTGACCATTCACCACCAGTCTCCCTCACTTAAAATGACAGCCTTAGAAACTATATTGGTCCAATCTGCTGTGTTCTAGAGGGAAGACCCCAGAGCAGGTGGTTCTGGAGCTGAATGACAGTTTGGACATTGATGTTAAAGTCGTCCCCAGAACCTGGGTTTGGGAAATTCCTAATCCCTGGAATCAAGGGGATGAGACCCCAGGGCAGGAGGCTGGGCCCCTGGGAGTCTGTGGGTTCAGCTTGACTGCATAGGTGGTGGGGTGGACAGAAGTGATGTTCACATGTGGGCTTGCTGCCCCCTTTGTCCAGGGATTTGGGGTTTGGGGCCTGAGGTCCACCTGACTCCCGTGGACTAGAGGAGGATGTGGTGGCTCCTCTGTGCCTCCCTGTCCATCAGTCCCTGGCCTGGGCTCCTCCTTAAATGCCGGTTTTTCTTCTAGATCCTGGGTGCAGTGATCCTGGGCTTCGGGGTGTGGATCCTGGTCGACAAGAACAGTTTCATCTCTGTCCTACGTAAGGACCCCTCTGTGCCCCCTGCCCTCCGTCAGCCCCAGAGGGGAGGGGAGGGCAACAGGCAAGACCTCTCATTCTCATATATTCCTACCAGAGTTCAGCTCAGGCTCGATGGCACTTGGTTTCCAGCTGACCTCAGGGCCTGGCCCACTGTTGACCACACATGGGTGCTCCACGGGGGTTTCCGGAAGGAATTTTCTCTCCCTCCCCAAACAAAGCCTCTGGTGTATGAGAATGCTGAGGAAGATGGGGTGAGGGAGATTGGCTTTCCCATCCTGGCCCCTTCCCTTGGCCTTGACCTTGAGAAAGTTCCTTCCATTCTCTGCCCCTCCGTTTGCGTGTTCAGCAACATGAGTTACAGTCCTTCCCCTTCCTACTGCAGAGGACTGTGGGACAGAACCAGGGAAGGCGGATGTCTGGTGTGGCTGAAAGGTACCAGTAAGGTTGCTCGGGCCGGTGCACCGAGAGGAAGGTGACTAGGGCGGTGCCCATTTAATCACACTCGCAATGTGCCAGGTGCCGTGCCAAGTTTTTTACATATAGAAGTGATCTGCGAGTGAACTAACACAGCGGCAGCAACATTGGGCTCAGACTTGTCTCCTATTATGAGACTGGAGCAGGATCCAGCAGCGCTCTGTTCTGTTGAACATAGGGTACGTGAGTCCAAGCTGACTCAACAGCACCTAACAACAGTCCCTCAACAGTCCTGTGTCATATCTGACACATGAAGAAACTTAGGCTCAGAGAGGTTAACTCACTTGTTTCAGCTCACACAGCTCGTAAGTGGGCAATGTAGGACTCAAACCTCCAAAGCTTTGGTCCTCAATGTTGTGTGTGGCAGAGTGAGCCACAAAGAGAAACCCCTTATCTCACTCTTTAGAGGATGCAGGGAAGGGAGAGGCACATGGCATTGCTGTGATGGGAGCCCTTCCTCCATGCAGCCTGTTGGGCTCCCTGAAATGGTGGGTACAACAAGAGGCCCCACTGAGGGTGTCCTGGCCTCCCCTCCCCTCCCTGCAGCTGCCCATGGCAGCAGGTTTGGACTCAGACCCATGACAGCTGCCTGATTTAAATAAACCAGAGCCAGGCTGGGCACAGGTGATGGAGCAGCTACACCTGTCACCCTGCCCAGGGGGACAGGCCTCACCTACATGTGGTGGGAAGCCGCGATGATCCCCCTCCAGCCACATCGATACACCTTGGGGCCATCAGTCCTGCCTCCCATTGGGGGGACTGTGGACTGAAACCCCTTTCTGGGTACTCTGTCTCAGTTGGGTGTCCACTCCCCCTCATGCCCTTCTAACACAGAACTCACTGCTGGATGCTAACTAGGCCCAGGCCCAGGCCGCCCCTTCTTTGGCATGGCCCATACCCAGCAGGCCCTGCACCACGGGGCAAAATCTGGACTCCCAGCCCACCCACCTGCATCTCTGCCCTCTGAGCTGCACCCTAGCCCTTCTCTGACTTCTTCCCTGCTCGACTCAGAGACTCAGCAGCTGGCCAGACCTTGGAGGCTCCCTGTGGACCTGGGGTGCCTCCCCTCACAGGACCTTATTCTAGCAGCGTGGGCATGGGGCTTGCATGCTGGTATTTTAGTGGCTTGTCAGTGAGTCCACAGGCAGCCAGAAACACCCACTTACTACACACCTGAGTAAACTGAGACTCAACCAGGGGAGAGATGACTTGCCAAGGGTCCGATAACAAGTGAGGGCTGAAACAGAACCCAGGGCTCCTGGTTTGTTATGTGCTGGTGCTATTGTTGTGGCTTCATACCTTAGCTAACCAAATCCCCATTGTGAACTCTAATAGAAGGTCTGCATTCTCCCCATTTTACAGAGGAGGAAATCTAGGTGCATAGAGATGAAGTAATTTGTCCATGGGCACAGAGCTAGAAGGTGGGGTACTGGGATTAGAAGCCAGGCCTCTGCTGCATATCAAGAACAGACTCTGGAGTCAGGATTCAAATCCTGGCTCTGACACCAACTAGCTGTGTGACTTCTGGAAAGCTACTTGACCTCTCTGTGCCTCAGTTTCCTCATTCATATTGTTATGTTGTTAGGTGCCACTTAGTTGGTTCTGACTCATAGCAACCTGATGTACAACCGAATCAAATACTGTCTGGTCCTGAGACGTCCTCACAAGCTCTGAGCCCATTGTTGCAGCCACAGTGCCAGTCATCTCACTGAGGGACTTATTTTCCACTGACTCTCTACTCTGCTTGACCAAGCCTGATGCCCTTCTCCAGGGACTGATAACATGCCTAAGGTGGTGGTGGTTATGTGACATGGAGTCGGTTCCAACTCATAACAACCCTGTACAGGGTTTCCGAGGCTGTAACTCTTTGCGGGAGCAGAAAGCCTCGTCTTTCTCCCTCGTAACAGCTGGTAGTTTTGAACTACTGACTTGAGGCTCGAAGCCCGATTCATAACCACTACGCGACCTAAGGTACATAAGATGAAGTCTCACCATCTGCCTTTCTGAGGAATATTCCAGCTATGTTTCTTCCAGCCCACTTTGTTCATATCATATATTCAACATTCTGCACCAACACCATAATCCAAAGGCTTCGATTCTTCACTAGTCTTTAGTCATTGTGTAGTCTTCACATGCATCTGAGGCGATTGAAACACCATGGCATGGGTCAGGCACCTCCAAGTCCTAAAAATGACATCTTTGCTCTTTAACACTTTAAACAGGTCTTTTGTAGCAGATTTGCCAAATGCAATACATTGCTTGCTTGCTTTCTATCTCTGTGTGCCATATACCCAGCCTGGAATTAGTGGGTGGTTGGGAGTGAAGGACTGAGCTAGTGAGCAGGAAAAAAAAGTTGTAGAGGAGGCAAAAGCAGATGGGAAATTTAGAAATCCGTGGAAGTCAAGAGTGGTTGGCAGAATCCAAACTCCCTAAAAATTTCTGAGGAATTTGATAGGGATGTTGAGTACCTTACCTTAATGGGAATTAGTTGGCTAGAGCTTTTCAGAGAAATCTTTTAAAAAAATTTTCTTTAACTGTTTGATTATGAATTACATGAAGGTTTATAGAGCAGATAGTTTTACATTCAGCAAATCATAACCTTTACGTCATTACAATGATTGCAATCCCCTCCGTGTACTGTCTGTTAACAGTATTTACCTCTTTTCACTTAAACTCTCAGATTCCTCCCTGTGTCTTCTACTTCCTTCATCTTTTCTCTGCCAGCTGCCCTCTTATATATTCCTTTCCTCATCACCCCAGTTGACGTGTCTACCCTCTGCTGCCATTGTTGTTGTTAGGTGCTGTTGAGTCAATTCTGACCTGTATAGGGTTTCTGATACTGTACAGTGTCCACGTGAACACAAGAAAGTGTTCTGGAATTCCCATTCTTTACAATGTTATCCGTAGTTTGTTATGATCCACATAGTGGAGTGCCTTTGCATAGTCGATAAAAACACAAACAACTTTCTGGTATTCTCAGCTTTTAGACAAGATCCATCTGACGTCAGAATTAAAACCCTCATTCCAGGTCCTCTTCTGAATCTGGCTTGAATTTCTGACCTCTCCTTGTCAATGTGCTACCGTAATTCTTTTAAAATGATTTCAGCAAAATTTTACTGGCATTTTTACATGATATTAATGACAAACTATTAGACAATAGTTTGCGCATTCCATTTGATAGTTTGCACATTCTGTTGGGTCACCTTACGTTGGGCACAAACATAGATCTCTTCCAGGTAGCTGTTTTCCAAATTTCTTGGCATAGAATAGTGAGTGCTTCCAATGAAGCATCCGTTTGGTGCAACATTTCCGTTGGCATTCCATGAATTCCTGCAACTTGAACTTCTCCCTTCAATACCAGTGATTCTTGATCATATGCTACCTCTTGAAATGGTTGAATGTTTACCAGTTCTTTTTGGTACAGGGACTGTGTATTCCTTCCATCTTCTTTTGATACTTCCTGCATCATTCAGTGTTCTGCCATTGTTGTTGTCGCTGTTAAGTGCTGTTGACTCAATTCCAACTTGAGTCAGTCACTCACGGAGTGATTGGTCGGTTTCAGCTGCCAACCTTGTGTTGAGTAGTCCAATACTTATCATATAGCACCATACCAGGACTCCGTTTTGCGCATTGTTGTTGTTGTTAAGTGCCGTCGAGTCGGTTCCGACCCATAACAACCCTGTATAGAGTTTCCAAGGAGCAGCTGGTGAGCTTAAGCCACTGACCTCGCAGTTCAAACGATTTTGCAGTCTGACACATAGCCCACAGCATCACATAGCAGAAGCTGAAGCTTGAATTTGTTTTTGAGTTCTTCCAGCTTGAGAAATGTCATGTGTATTGTTTTTCCCTTTGGTCTTCCAGCTTCAGGTCTTTGCACATTTCATTGTAATACTTCACTTTGTCTTCTTGAGCTGCCCTTTGAATTTTTCTGTTCATTTGTGTATCATTTCTGACATTTTCTTTAGGTACTCTACATTCAAGAACAAGTTTCAGAGTCTCTTCTGACATCCTATTTGGCCTTTTCTTTCATTTCTGTGTTTTAAATGACCTTTTGCTTTCTTCATGTGTGTTGTTCCTGATGTCATCCCACCATTCCTCTGGTATTCAGTCATTAGTGTTCAGTGTGTCAAATCTGTTCATGAGATGGTCTCTAAATTCAGATGGGGTATACTCAAGGTCCTGTTTTGGCTCTCATGTACTTGTTTTAATTTTCTTCAGCTTTAGTTTGAATATTTGCATGTGAGCAGTAGCAACAGGGGCTGTTTCCACATTCAGTCCCTGACCTTGTTTTGGCTGATGATGTTGAGATTTTCCATCATCTCTTCCTATTGTTGTTGTTAGGTGCCATAGAGTCGGTACTGGCTCATCATGACCCTATGCACAACACTAACCTCACAGTCTTTGCTATATTTCAGACCATTGCTGCCGCCACTGTGCCAATCCATCTCGTTGGGGGGTCTTCCTATAGATAAGTCTGTTTGATTTCTGTGTATTACATCTGGCAAGGTCCACATCTATTGTTGTTGTTGTTGTTACGTGCCATCAAGTCGGCACCAACCCATAGCAACTTTATGCACAGCAGAACGAAACACTGCCCAATCCTGGGCCAACCTCACTACTGTTGCCATGCTTGAGCCCATTGATGTTGCCACTTGGCCAATCCATCTTGTTGGGGGTCTTCCTCTTTTTCTCTGACCCTCCACCTTACCAAACATGATATACTTCTCCAGTGACTGGTCCCTCCTGACAATGTGTCTGAAGTATGAGAGACGAAGTGTGGCCATCTTGGCTTCCAGGGAGCACTCTGACCGCACTTCTTCCAAAACGGATCTGTTGGTTCTTTTGTCAGCCCATGGCACTTTCAATATTCGCCTCCAACAGCATAACTCAAAAGCATCAATTCTTCTACAGTCTTCCTTATTCACTGTCCAGCTTTCGCATGTATATGAGGTTATTGAAAATACCATGGCTTGGGTCTCAAGCTGACATCTTTGCTCTTCAATACTTTAAAAGGTCTTGTGCAGCAGATTTGCCTAACGCAATATGTTGTTTGATTTCTTGACTGCTACTTCCGTGAGTGTTGATAGTTGATCCAAGAAGAATGAAGTCCTTGATAACTTCAGTCTTTTCTCCATTGATAAGAATGTTGTTTATTGGTCCAGTGGTGAGGATTACATTGAGATGTAATCCATACTGAAGGCTGTGCTCTTTGATCTCCATCAGTAAATGTTTTAAGTCCTCCTTACTTTAAACAACAACAAGGGCTAGTGTGGAAATTGTACAGATTGTCAAGGATACCAGACCTGCCTCCGGCCAGCACCGGGAGGCTCTCTAGACCATTCTAGTTCTTTCTGGGAGGACACATTCTAGTTCTTTCTGCTGGAACATACCAAATGGAATTGCTGAGAACCTAGGGGTGAGGGTCTGCGAATGAGGAGGCTGGTGCTTCAGATCAGGAGGCCCACTCCAGTGGGGGCTCAGCCCAGGCTCTGGGGTGAACTCCTGTAAGGAATATGGTGGAGACATCCTGAGGGTAGAGCAGTCTTCTGGCCCCAGCTTTGTTCCTCATGATATCTGGACACATAGCCTCATGGGACTGCTGACCCCCCACCTACCCGGTGGGCTCTGTCACCAGCGGCTTAGCCACAGCCTCTGAGTACAGCCATCACCTTTCCCTTCTCTCACTCACACCCATCCATGCAGTCTCAGTGTCTTTCCATTCTCTTTGTGTCTGCTGCTCCCACTGCCTCCAGATATTCAGAGCATCTCATGGGCCAGGTCTTGTGCCCAGAGCTGGGGTCCTGCAGAAACAAGCCAAGTCACATTCTTGTGGGTGGAAGCAGACCCCTGAGTAAGATAGCGTATAAGCCACTGAAATGCAGAGTCAAATCAATCCTAATGCGAGGACAGATAAAGAGGGGCAGGTGCAGAAGTGGCAGGGTTGGCAGTTTTGGGTAAGCTGACGCATCCTGGGTAGACAGCTAACAAAGGGATGAAGGAGCAGCAGGGAGACTTGGTTGACTTTTGCACCCTGACTCTGAGGAAGGACCCGGGGAACAGCCCTGGAACGTGGGGCCCTACCCCTGATCAGGACTTGGTGTGTTGCACCAGCTGAGCTGGATTAAACACCACACTACCATCCCACTCTGCTTCCCTTCCAGAGACCTCCTCCAACTCGCTCAGGATAGGGGCCTATGTCTTCATCAGCGTGGGGTCGGTCACCATGCTCATGGGCTTCCTGGGCTGCATCGGAGCTGTCAATGAGGTCCGCTGCTTGCTTGGGCTGGTGAGTACCCTCCCCCCAGTGGACCCCACCCTGGCTGTAGTTCTCCTGATGGGAGGGGAGGAGGCCCAGACTGGGGAGCTCACAGCTAACTGCCTGCTTTGTGTCCCCAGTACTTTGCCTTCCTCCTCCTCATCCTCATTGCCCAGGTGGCTGCTGGGACCTTCTTCTACTTCAAAATGGACGAGGTAAGCATCTTCTCCACAGCCCTGGGGACTGACCTTAGGGATGGCTAATAGATGAGACAAACCCAGTCATGCCAGGGGCAGCCTCCACCGTCCTCTGGTACCCATGGTAGCCTGTTAGAAGATGGGGCAGCGTGTGGTCTCAGGGACGCTGCTTGCCTGTCTATGCCTCAGCTTCACCATCTGTAAAACAAGGGCAGGAATAGAACTTAGTTCTCAGGGTTGTGGCGGAGATCCACTCAGATTATCTTAGTGACACACTTAGCCCAGTGGGGTGGCTCAGTGAACACTCAGTAAATGGTTGCTGTTCATGCTCTTATACAAACACTGTAACAAACAAACAACAAAAAACAAATCCATTGCCACTGATTTGATTCCAACTCATCGTGATCCTGAAGAACAGAGTTGTTGTTGTGAAGTGCCATCGAGTCGGTTCCGACCCATAGCGACCCTCTATAGGGTTTCCAAGGAGCAGCTGGTGAGCTTGAACCACCAACTTTCAAGTCCAAGAGTATGGTCTTTATGGAAGCAGCCATTGGGTTCAAACAGCTGACCTTTTGGTTAGTAGCCAAGCACTTAATCACTGCACCACCAGGGCACTTTTAGACACCTTGGTGGTGGTGGTGGGTGTGTGCCATCAAGACAGTTCTGACTCACAGAAACCCTGTATAGGGTTCCCAAGGTTGTAAATCTTTATGGGAGCAGAAAACCTCATCCGTCTCCTGCAGAGCAGCTGCTGAATTTGAACCGCCGACCTTAGGGTTAGCAGCCCTGTGCGTCACCCACTACATTACCAGGACTCCTTTCAAGACACCTTACTGTTGTTATTGTGAGTGCTGTTGAGTCGGTTCTGACTCATCATGACTCTGTGTAGGGTCTCCAAGGAGCAGCTGGAAAGTTTGAACTGCCAACCTTGCATTTAACAGCCCCGCGATTATCGTATAGTGCCACACCAAGACTCCTTCAAGACACGTTGTTGTCGTTGTTTTATTATTATTGTTGTTAAGTGCCATCGAGTCGCTTCTGATCCATAGTGACCCCATATAGGGTTTCCAGAGAGCAGCTGGTGGATTTGAACTGCTAACCTTGTGGTTCAAATGGACCTTGTCTAGCATATTTACCTGCAGAGCCACACCAGGACTCCATGTTGTCGTTAAGTGCCGTCTAGTCAATTCTGACCCATAGCGACCCTGTATAGGGTTTCCAAAGAGCAACTGGTGAGCTTGAACCTCTGACCTTCCAGTTCAAACAGCTTTGCACTCTGGTGCATTAACCCACAGCGCCACACCAGGACTCCATAGCAAGTATCAAATCCATCTACAGATAAGACCCAGGGAGGAGAACATTAGTCAGAGGGAAGATGGCCAGATTTAAGGAATGAAATCAGACTGAATTGCTTACCTCTAAGGAATTTGTTTTTGATGTAACCAAGTGTGGTTTACAAGCTCAGAGGCTCAGACTGTGGCTGTCTGATGGCGTTTATGAATCAGGCCACTTAACCTCATGACCACAAGGTAACTGCCGCAGATCCAGACATTATTTGCATTCTATGACCTAGAGTCCTGGTGTGGAGCTGTGGGTTAATGCACCGGACTGCAAGGTCGGTTTGAACTACAAGGTTGATGGTTCAGGCTCACCACCCGCTCCTCAGAAGCACTCTGCAGGGTCACTATGGACTGTTTCATTGTGTCTTTTACAATTCACAGCTATTGTATGTTTTACAGATTGAAGGTTTGTGGCAAGCTAGAAAACACTTTTGGTTTCCCAGTGCATACGAAAGTTAAATTTTCACTACACCGGCAGTCTATGAAATATGCAATAGCATGATGAAAAAGTTGTGAGAATGACCAAGATGGAACACAGAGACATGGAATGAGCACACAGGGTTGCCACAAACCTTCCACCTGTGAAAACACAGTATCTGCGAAGTACAGTAAAGCCAAGCGCGGTAAGATGAGGTGTACTTGTGCCTATTTATAACCAACACCCAGCCGGTTTCCTGGGATAAATGGAGCTGCCTCCCATAAACATCAGCAACGAAAATCAAGATGAGAGTGATCAGAACCCTTAGTGAGAAAGGGGAAGGCCATTTTTTCTAAGATGTGATCAGAAGCCTGAAGACAATATAGACACAGCAGTTGAGGGCTAATTTAAGTGCTGAGCTTCCTGGCAGCCAAGGCAAAAGGGAAAACCATGGATTCCATAGACAACAGGAAGCATGACTGGTAATACACAGGCAGCCAGTGGTTAGGAAAGAGACTCTCCTTTCGAGAGAAATGTTGTGAGTCAGGTCTTCATTTCTGCGCTCCCGCATCTGGGATTCCTCTGGTACATGATGATCTAGGTGTCTGAGAGCCAGGTCCCAGTGGACTGGTCATCTCAGTGGGAGTCTCAGGTGGTCCACCCTCTCACCCTCTGCATGCTTCACCACTTAGCAGTAATAAAGGCCCCAACTGTTTGGTGCCAACCGCATGCCAAGAGCTTAACCTTACCCACATTTCATGTTGACAACCGTTTCTATTTAAGAAACAGGCCCAGAAAGTGAAATGACATTGGCCATGGTCATGTAGCTGGGATACGACAGAGTGGACATTTCCATCCTGGTCCCTCTGACTCAGGCCCGTGTCCTCCTTCTGGGTCATGCTGGCTCCTCATGGGTCAGTAAACTCCCTGCTTGGCTGAGAAGCCAGGCTCTGAAAGAGGCCCACAGCCTGGTCTCCTGACTCCAGTCCATTGTACCCACTGCCCTGTCCACTGCCTCTCCTCTCCCACCCCCGCTCCACCGCAGGGTCCACTCCTCACAGCCCCCACTCACAGCCCACCTCCCCTCGGCCCACCTTCTTTTCTGGAAGTTGGAGGGAAATTTCCAGCTTAACTGGGGAAGTTCTGGCGCCACTATCTTGCCTACATTGGAATGAATGATTTATTTTGTCTTTCCCAGCACATTGTAAATCCTTGTGGAAGAATAAACATGTTCTTGCTGGTGTTTATTCCTGCAGATGAGGCCCAGCTGGGGATGTGGGGCTTGTTTGAGGCTGAAGGTAAAAGGCCTGAACTGGACCGTGTTCTCCAGGCCTCCTGGGCAGTGGATGTGAGTGACCCTGGACTCCCCTGAGCTGTCTCCACAGCTTGCTCTTCATGCCCCACGCTCCCCGGGCAGGACAGCAGTGGTGGAGGCGGCTGGGTCTCGGGCAGGGCGCAAAACCTCTGGAGCTTGGCTTCTGCTTCTGTACGTTTAGAATAGACCTGCCTGACCTCCCACTCCCACCCAAAGTTGAATTGAGCCCAGACTGTGATCCTTTTATAAAACAGAGCTAGCTCAGGGCCTGCGGCCCAGTCATTGTTCTGAGCCTCTCAGCATATGATAATACAAATGAATAAACATCAACACTAAGCTTCCTTGAGGCAGAGGGTGAAGTGTGAGGGGGCTTCCATTTCGTGTAAAAACAGAATGGAAAGATAATGGCCTTTGCCCATGAACTTTCTGAAGCCCCCTCATACTTTAGTGTTTTGAGCTTTCATCAGACCATTTGATGCACGGTCTTAGTTACAAGGGTGCCCACTCCATGCTACAGGTCCTCGGGTATGGCTGGTGTAGGCCGACTCTAAGGAGTATTCAGCAGAGGCCAGGCACAAAGGAGCCCTGGTGGTGCAGTAGTTAAATGTATGGCTGCTAAAGGAAAGGTTGATGGTTCAAACCCCACCGGCGCCTATGTGGGAGACAGACTGGCAACCTGCTCATGTAAAGATGGCAGTGCAGGGAACCCTGTGGGCATTTCTGCTGTGTCACACAGCATCACTGTGAGCCAGAATGGACTCACCAAGCACCCAACAACAAGGACAAAGGCCGAACTGTCCTGTACAATAGCAACAGAGGGCCACTGTCCCTGATTTGCAATTCTGAAATTGAAGCCAAACAAAAACAAACTTTGAAAATCAAAATTAGCATTTGCAACTCATTTGGTGGCAAAAGGGAGCCTGAAACGGAAATGAAAGTGTTGCTCATCCTTGTTGACCCCATTTATGCATCCTGGGGGAAATGGGAGGGGGAATGGTTGTAGGCTGCTTACTAGATCCCACTTCGTTGTGACATACAACCCTGATTTCTCTGTAAGTTGCAAACCTTCCTCAGAACCAGAGCCCCTTGGTTCCACGGTGAGGACTAAGTTAGTATCGGGAAGCTTCAGAGCAGTGGCTGGCCCCAGGCAGGCTGGTATCAGGGCAGGTCTTACTGGACTCATGTCAATAAAGTACCCAGAAAGGGCTCAATGAATAGCAGCGGCTGTTATTGCTGTTGTATTAATATTAGCATCAGCCAGGGCTGCGGGAACCAGATCCCTCTGAGTCTGTCCTCATCTGACAGTTATCCAGCCTCAGCTTAGTGGTGTCAGGAAATGGTGGCACAGTGGTTAAACACTGGACTACTAACTGAAAGGTCAGAGGTTCAAACCAGTCAGTAACTCCATAGGAGAAAGCTGAGGCAGTCTGTGTCGTTGTTAGGTGCTGTCCACTTCTGATTCCTTGCAAGCTTATCTATGCGCCACAGAGAGAAATACTGCCCCATCTTCCTCTGCCATTCTCATTAGTGTTAGGCTTGAACCCATTGTTTCTGTCACTGTGTCAGTCCATCTCCTTGGGGGACTTCCTCTTTTTCACCGACCCTCCACTTTACCAAACATGATGCCTTTCTCCAGGGACTGGTCCCTCCTGACAACATGTCCGAAGAACAAGAGGCAAGGTCTCACCATTCTCATTTCTACGGAGCATTCTGAGTGTACTTCTTCCAAGACAGATTTGTTTTCCTTCTGACAGTCCATAGTATATTCAATATTCTCCAACACCATCATCCAAATGTATTGATTCTTCTACGGTCTTCCTTATTCACTGTCCAACTTTCACATGCATATGAGGCCATTGAAAATAGTATGGCTTAGGTCAGGTGCACCTTAGTCCTCATACTGACCTCTTTGCTCTTGAATGCCATGAAGAGGTCTTGTGCAGCA